GTGAGAGAGAAGGAGATAGAAGGAGACAAACAGAGAAAAAGTGGAGAGAGAGAAAGAGAGAGAGAGAGAGAGAGAGAGAGAGAGAGAGAGAGAGAGAGAGAGAGAGAGAGAAAGAGAGAGAGAGAGAAGGAGACAGACAGAGACAGCCAAATAGAGATCAAGAGAAGGGTTAGAGAGAGTCAGAGCGAGAGAGAGGCAGATATAGAGCGAAATAAAGAGATGGTGGAGAGAGAGAGAGAGAGAAAGAGAGAGAAGGGGAGGCAGGGAAGTGACGAGGGACAGAGTAAACGAGTAAATAAGGAGAGTGAGCGTATCACGTAGTAAGGAACAAAACGGTGACAAAAAAGAAGATAATATTAGAAAGGTGGGGGAAGAAGGAGAAGTAGTAGAGGTGAGTAGGGGGGGGGGCTGTACCTGGTCAACCAAGAGCCAAAGACAAAGAAGGAAAAGCGACACAGGAAGGGAAGGAAAAGGCGCTCCCTCAGAGGATAAAGCGGTTTTTGCTTTGTTCGTTAAGTACGTCTGCCTTCTGGAATAGAATCTCCTTGAAACAGAAGAGAAGCTATTTTCAAAGGCACAGCACTTGCTCGCACGATGAAGTTCCAAGCAGAGACGAAAGCGGTCCGGATAGTACAAGAATCTTTCTAAACCCTCTAAGGTTAGACCCAAATAGAGCTGCGGCGGAAGAAAGGAATCGAGAAGAAGGAAAAAACGAAAGAAGGAGAGAAGGAGAGAGACAGAGAGAGGGACAGTAGAGTTAGTAGGGAAGGAAGAAGGAACTGATAGAACGTGTGACAGTGAATAAAAATAATGGAATAGAAGATTAAAAGTGAGGGGAATAAACCAAGAAAATAAATCAAAGGTAACCGAAAATGGGAAATTGACTTTTTTTTAAAGAGGAAAAACTTAAAACGGTTGAAAGGAAAAGAGGGAATAGAAGCAAAAAGAAATGTTACAGAATTTAATGTTACATACAAAAATTAAGATCAAAAGAGTAAACAGCATGAAAAGTGTTCATGCAAAAATTTAATTCATCTAAAATGAGATTTATTCTGACACGTTCAAAAGCGACAGGATGTAATTCTGTGCTCCCAAATGTTGCCGATGCTTGACTTTAATGGTACTCATAATTTGTTCGAAAAGTTATAATTTATAACAGGATATAAGACGGGGGAAGATCATGTCTGTGTATTAGTCTCTGAGCACTTTATCGGCTGCTTGCACTGTGTGCTTTCTGGGAGGCTGCTTGCACTGTGTGCTTTCTGTGTGCTTTCTGGGAGGCTGCTTGCACTGTGTGCTTTCTGTGTGCTTTCTGGGAGGCTGATTGCACTGTATGCTTTCTGGGAGGCCGAGAATGTTTCAGCCGGCTAATGGCAGGGTATATCATTCGCTGTATAAGAATTGCAGTTCTATCTGCTCAATACCTAGTTTTGGGGGGCTCTCGTCGCCTAAAGGTTATGGTCTTCACCTCTCATTCTAAGGTCCCGGGTTAGAATCCGGGTTGGGACCGAAACATTTTCTTCTCTAAAATGTGTCTCCATTCATCTCCTTTCCTGCTCTCTAGCAATATTCTGTCGTCTACTTTCGTCTCCACTTTCTGCCCCCACCCCTTCACCTCCTTTGACCCCTCGTCTGTGCTCCTGACTCTTTCTGCAGCCTTTCTACTGTTATTACTTGGCTCCTTCTTACTGCTGTCTTTCAGCCACACCCCCGATCTTCTGGTAGGAAAGATCTACATCTAGCCTTCTCGGACAAGGGCGAAAAATCTCGGAGGTCCCGGGTGCAAGTTGCGCACGTTAAAGATCCCTTGGTGGTCCAAAATCGATAAGAGTAGGCTTCGGCCTCCACCCAGGCAAAATTCAAAATTTCCTACCCAATGGAACTGAGCGCTCATAATAAATGACCTTATAGAGTTACAAAAAGAATGTCTCTGAACGCTTTATCGGCTGCTTGCACTGTGTGCTTTCTAGAGGCTGTTTGCACTGTGTGCTTTCTGGGAGGCAGAGAATGTTTCTGCCAGCTAATGACATGGTATATCATTCGCCACCTCAGAATTACAAAGTTCTATCTGCTCAATACCTTGTTTTGAGAAAACTGACGTTAAAAAATTTGAGTATCAGTAGGCCTATCATAATAATTATGTCAAGCTTTTTCGAATGCAAATTCTTTTCATGTATTGATTTAACGACTCAGAATAATGTTACGAGTTTGATAGAGCAGATAAAAAATGTTATTTTCTGACCTAATTGTTTTAGTAACTTAAAACGGCCTAAAATGTCACATAGAATTTTGTAATTCTGAGGTAGCGCATTGCAAAGCGCATAGGGCTTTTTTATTGAGAGAGCATAAAATATACGCTATACAAATTATAATACTATTGATTACATTTATTTATGATCCAAACGGAATCTTCAGGGTCGAACTCCCCCAACCCCTAAAAAACAAAAAAAATCCCAAAACAAAACAAAAACAGAAAAGAAACAAAAAACAAAACGAATTTTTTTTTTTTAAAGCCCCACTCATAAAAAGTAAGCTCACCTTTCTGTAGTCTAGTGGTCAACACGTGCAGGTCAATAATTATCGAGCGCCACCTTAGCAGTCTCAGTGTTTGCTCTGAGGACTTTCTTGTTTGCTGCCTGTCGTCCGAGAACGTGCTCTCGTAGCTCCAGGGGTCAGGGGTCAGGGGTCACGCTCCCGGATCGCCGTCCTGAGCAGATAGAAGATGTTGGTATCGGTTAATTAATTAATGATAAAACTGGATTATACTTTGGATGTTTCCAGTGCTTTCATTTTTTTAAATAATTGTTGTGAACTTGGTAAAGTAGAGACCAAAACCTGGTAGGACGTAAATTAATACAAGTTTCTTAAAAGGTATTAGCATTGTTTTTAGTATAGAGCAAGAAAAATGTAGACACTTTCTTATTTGTAATATAGCCATCTATTTATTCTGTGTTTATTCTTCTTTGTTGTTTTTCGTTGTATTTTTTATAATGGACGTATTGATAAAAAAATTGTCCGCTTCATCAGCGTAGTTTGTAACTTGGCAAAAGTGTCATTTAACACATCGTTATCTCAGAATTACAACGTTCTTTTTAGTTTTCATAAGTGTTTTACGACACTTATAACTCATTAAGGTCATATAAGTGCCGAAGAATAGATGTGTTGCAAGAGACTAACATACACAAAAAAGAAGGAGGAAGGATAAGGATGATTAATGTTTGAAGGGAAAGAAGGAGCAAAGCACGCCAAAGCACCCACCAACCACCCACACAAAGTTCTATTTGACATTTTTGGCCCTTTTGAGTTACTAAGACCAGACGTCAAAAACCAATATATTAATATGCTCTATCACAATCGTAAAAATATTCAAAATTGTTATCAAGATTATGAAATAATTGTATTCGAAAAAGCTTGACATTATTTTTGAGAAACTCAAACATTTTGACGTCAGTTTGATCAAAACTAGGTTTTGAGCACATAGACCTTTGTAATTATGAGGTTGCGACATATTTGTTATAAAATAGATAGGTTTATTGTCGACTAAGAGTACATTGCAGGAGAGGTTGCGACATGTTTGTTATAAAATAGATAGGTTTATTGTCGTCTAAAACAAAGACCACATTGCAGGAGAGCTCTTCACAACCTTGTCTGATATGGAAGGACAAGAGCTACATGCTGCGTCACCGCGTAGATCACGATCTGTTCCTGTTTAATCTAAACCATTGCAGCAGTCTGTCAGTCACGAGGCTAGAACGTGACGCGCAATATTACAGAGCTAAATTATGTTTATTTCCTCGCAGATTGCAAAAGATTTTGATAAACTTCAAGGGTCTAATTTAATGAGCCAAGCATAGGTCAATTTGTTATATTATGTAGCACTGACAGCGTCAGAATCCGACCTAACCCGATTCCATCTGATTATATAATTCGACGGCTAAGCGCAAGAAGTGACTTGCCTTTAGTGCTCAAATTTATGAAACTCCTGAAGTTCAGATTTGTCCACTTAAGGAACTAACTTTTAAACTTCTCAAACCTTAAGAAAACAGACTCAACCCAGCAACCCCCCAACCC